CACGTTGATTCCAAGCCCACTGAAATTGACTTCAGTTGACTTTGGATCACAGGCAAGTGACCATCCTTCTTCCCAGAATCCTCCCAATCTGTTCCCTGTTTCTTACCCTCACATCTGGCGATTCGATTTAACCATGTGCAGATGAGCAAGGCTCCGTGACACATCAAATCCATCTGCCCCCTGCAAGGCGCTGCGGGCGTCCAAGGAACATTTCATTCCGAGCTTTGGATGACCACTGAGGGGCTGAAAAGGGGCCCACCCAGGCGAAGGGGTATATGAATGTTGCAGCAGTAAACAGTTCAATGCGGTCCAGGATTTTGTGCCCAGTTATCACTGGTGGCTCGCAGGGTAACAGCCACCATTACGAATCTGTCTACTTTTATTAAAGACACCAAAAAAGAGGGGGGAAAGCGTGAAAACCTTTGCAATGGAAAGTATGAGGTGAGGCTTTCGTTTTTAACACTCCCTCTTATTCCCTTTCCCCGTGGAGAGGTTTTATAAAGAGACAAGCCCCAGTTTGACAGTCTCTTCAGGGTTTTTCAGGACAAAATTTTTGGTGGTCACAGAGTGTGGCCACCAACTCTTGCTGGTGGCCGCTCTCACACATTTTCCTAAAATACTTGATTAGCTTTAGGACAAATAAATGTGTGCATAGACACGGCCAAATCATTGTCATTGGTTTATTGCCAGCTAAGGCTGTTGTGAAAAGCGATATTAACAAGCATACAAGTGTTGCTTTTCACAGTAGACTGACTCAGCCCTGGCAAGCCTGGGGACAAATTAAGCCCTGGATGGGGGGTCGGGGGAGGCAGCAAGAGCCAAGGGCAATGGGGGTGGGTGGGGGCTGGAGCCTAAAGCCTTGTGGTCAGAGCCTGCCGCCCCTTTGCCCTGCCACCCCAGGGCTGAAGCCCGAAGCCTGAACCCCATCACCCCAGGAAGGTGGGGAAGTCACAGGCTGCCTGGTCCCCCAGCGTTGTGCCCCAGGGGGAGCAGGGGCCAACTACTGCTGGCGGCTCCAGCAACCAACACCAAGGCGGTGCATCCAAGAGCAACAGGGAGGGGCTGCTACTTTCCCCCCAGTAACAGCCCAGGGGGCTGTGGCTGCAAGAAAAGCCCCTGATGGCCGCGTTTGAGAACCGCTGTGGGATGGCATTACAGGCATTACATAACTGTCCTTTGGGGGTCGGGTCAGAAAAGAAGTGAGTTCACAGGGGCTGGAGCTGTCCTGGCAGCTGCTGTTAAAGTCTGATCCCTTTTCCAAGACAAACCCGGCCAAGAGGGGAGAGGAAAGACCAGCAAAGAGAGAAAATGCAGCTTCTGTCTCTGGAGAAACACAGCCCCAGCCCCCGGTCTGGCCGGACGCTGGGGCCAGCGCTGGGTGGTTTGGGGCACTGCTTTTAGCTGCCTCTCTGCTCACGGGCGTCCAGCAACGTTGCGACCCTTGCAGGAGGGGCTGGCTACGCCCGCCACTAGCTCTGTAACTGATTCGGCCCACCTGGACTTCATTAACAGCCTCTCCATGGGTCCGGATGGAGGCAGCTGGTCTCCATACCTGAGCAGGACATAGAGGGAGGAAGCTAGGGGTGGACATGTAGTGTGAAGCAGCCCCTGGACCGGGGGAAGCCCAGAGGGCTGAAGGAGGTTGCGGGAGGGCCAGGGGAGCAGCACAGGGGGGTTGCCAGCCAAACTCTCCAAGCCAGAGAGACTCGGAGACAGCTGCCGAGAGCATCTAGGCGGCTGCAGAGGCCCTGATACTGGGCAAGATGGAGCATTGGTCTGACCCAATACGGCAGTTCTGATCTTCTTAAATGCCCAATAATGGGAAAGACCCTTCCCTACACGGGCTCTGGCAGGGGCATTTCTAAATGAGAAGAGGCCAGATCTACCGGACCCAGGACAAGGCTGCACCTTACTGCACCGTAGGCAGCCTGCATACGCTGTCCTGCTAAGCGAGAGCTGGCTCTGGGGCTTTGCAATGGCCGGAGCAGAGATGGCTGACAACACCTCCAGGTATGTGCGAGCATCGTTTATCGAACAAAAGGGGCCAAATCAACACGTGGGCCGCTCCAACCACAGGCACCCGGCAGGCGGCCAGCGCAGCTGCCTCCTCTCCCCGCGTCGGACTCTGTCTCTGCTGTTAACATTCCCTCCGTTCGTCACAAGGGAGACCCCAGCCCTTAGCCGCGCTGGTCACGTCTTGCCAGCCCCAAGCGGGGACCCATGCAGGCGGCCTGGGCTCGAGCGAACCCTCTGGTGCAGCTGTTGATGACAATGGGAGTTTTAATGGGCTCCAGACCGGACCCTCCAGGACAGAGATCACTTAGCCCACCCAAGGCCAGAAGCAGGGGGAGGTTGGCTGCGGGGCCTTAGGGGTGTGGGGGGCTGGATACCAGGGCAGAGGGAGATGTGGGAAGAGGATGCCCTATGGGCTCCAGGGGGGCTGCTGTGGGCCAAAGCTGGGGTCACGAGGTCATGGGTCAGGAAGGAAAGGGGTGAGATCAGGGGTGAATGAGGAGATTCATGGGTGAAGAGTCCCCAGGAGGGGGGGACACAGAGAGAGAGAGAGAGACCGAAAGAAATGAAGGGAAACCCAGAGCAATGAATCAAGGGGGGCAGGAGGTGAAAGACCCACAGACCGGGCTCCAATGTGGGGAGAAAAGAAGGGGAGAGATCAGGGCAGAAAGGCCAGGGAGAGAGGAAAGGGGGCTGGATAGATTGTTCACACTATCGAACCCACCCTGGGCGGGAGGGACCGGAGCGCGGTACGACAGGTCCCCGTCAGGCCAATCGACCTCAGTGCAGCAGGCAGCCCCGAGCCATGTCCCCTGATCCTGGGGCACCTTTGGCATCAGCCAAGAACAGCCACCTGGCTGCCACGCCCGAGCCGCAGTTTAATCCAGGCCGGGGCCTGGATGAGGCCTTGGACCCTGACGGGGGCCACAACACAGGAGATTCTGTGAATTATTATCTGGGGAGAGGTCCCCACGCCCAGCAGGGAAGGTCCCAAGCCCCGGGCCGAGCCCAGATCCCCTGGCCACTGCTGCTGCCATCCAGCCGGGGAGGAACCCATAAGACCCTCAGGCAAACCCTCAACCCCCCGCCCACCCGGCCAAGGGAGCTGACATATCGCAGCCGATCCTCCCCGGAGGTTTCTCCATTCACCACGCTTCCCTTCTGAGCTGAATCTCAGCCAGCTCGGCCTCCCTGAGCCCAGAGCTCCTGTGCGCTAGCTGTGTGGGATGGAGCTGGGTTTCATCCACGTGCCAAAGCCCCCATAGCCAAATCCGCTCCCTTAGCGCCCCAACAGCCGGTGTGTTGGGCCGGCGGAGGGAGAGCGTGGGACCCCCGCGTCACTAGAGCCAGCAACGCTCAGGCCTGGGCAGCCTCTTTCAATGGCGGTGCCCTCGGACAGGAGCCAAGCTCCCCCGATGGAGCCCAGCCATGTCAGCGGGGGGCTACCAGCAGGTCAGCTACTCCAGCTCAGCAGCAGCGTTAACGGGTAGGCCTGGAATGACTTGCCTGGGGAGGAAAATGTTATTTACCCCTCCACACAATGAACCGGGAGGGGGTCACCCAGTGACATTAACAGGCAGCAGGTTTGAAACAAACAGGAGGAAGTATTTCTTCACACAACGCGCAGTCAACCTGTGGAACTCCTTGCCAGGGGATGTTGTGAAGGCCAAAAGTATAACTGGGCTCAATAAGGGATTACATAAGTTCATGGAGGACAGGTCCATCAATGGCTATTGGCCAGGATGGGCAGGGACGCAGCCCCATGCTCTGGGTGTCCCTAAGCCTCTGAGTGTCAGAAGCTGGGACTGGATGATAGGGAATGGTCACATGGTAACTGCCCTGCTCTGGTCATTCCCTCGGAAGCACCTGGCAGTAATTCCTAGACAGGGTGCTGGGCTAGATGGACCATTGCTCTGACCCAGTGTGGCCGTTCTCATGACACCGGATTGCTCTGGGGCCTAGAGGAGATCAGGTCTCATGGCTGTATTTTGAAATATACGCAAGAGGCATCGGCCCTTTGTGTCTCCCACGCCCATTGTTAGAAATCCAAAGAAAACCCACCAACCAACACAAGCCGTGCAGTCTCCACACTATGGCCAGCTGCCCGATCAATCCGAGTCTCCTGGGGACTGGACTGAGAAACTTAGAGCCACTGGGACCAAGGAGACCTGAGGCATTGAGCTGTGGCCGGAGCCCTGGGCGGCAGATGTGGTTGGAGCGGAAGTGGTGGTTACAAGCAGCGTACAGGGCTGGGGGGCAAAGAGATGACTAACACTGGAAGCTTGTTTGCAAACTTCACTTAGAGGCTGTGACCCCGGCTTCCCAATCCTGGCTCCGATCAATTCCCATTAGTCGGGCTGCTCCTCCCACGAGGACTAGGTCTTCTGAAGCAGAACAAATGGAATGACTGCACCGTGAGTCACACGAAACCAAGTCACACAGCGGTGACAGCAAATCCAGTGTTGGAAATCACACCCCTTGGCGAGCCAGGCGAAGGAAGGGTGCAATTCATGAGCTGGATTAGGTGACTCGGGAGAGTTGGGTCAAATTCCTGGCCCTGCCACTGACTTTCTGGATGACCCGGGTCAAGTCACTTAGCATATATCTACACAGTTGGCCCAGGTCAGCTGACTCAGACTTGCAGGGCTTGGACTGCAGGGCTAAAAACTGCTGTGTAGACATTCAGGCTTGGGCTGGGGCCTGTGCTCTGGGACCCCCCACCCTCAATTTCCCTCTGTAACATGGAAATAAAAACATTTCCTTTCCCCCACCCTGTGCCTGTCCCATCTCTTTAGATCTGAAGCTCTTTGGGGCAGGGACTGACTCTTATGTGGTACGTGCCATGCCTAGCCCAACGGGCAGGCCCTGCATGAAACACGTGCAAAGAGGGAGCACTTTGGAAGCAAGCCGTTGCACGCTACCTTAATATGCACCAAGCTGTTTTTAGTATGTAACAAGACAGAATTACAACAGGCAAAATGAACACGTTACAATATCTTGCTTGGCTGGGACTTTGTTAGCATCTCAATGGCTGCATTGATTTCCCCTTCCGTGTCGATCAGAGCCTGTAAATTCGCTTCCCGGTCCTGGAAGCCCATTGTTCTGAGCTGCTCCATTTGGCGCTCAAATCTGACGTCTGGCCTCTGCTGATCCACGCACTCTTGGCCTTCAGGTTCATCCTTGTCTGATGCTAGACTCACGTCCTCCTCGGTCTCGCTACTGGGAATGGACCCTTCCATGCTTTCCAGCTCCAGTTCCACGTCCCGGTCTCCCAGCCCTAGGATAAAATCTGGGACCTCGGCCGAGAGCGTCTGCAAGCCCAGCTGAATCTGTAACAAAGCCTGCATGGCTCTAGGGCTGGTCAGTAAGGGGGCGATTTCAGCGCTCTCCAACTCCAGAGGGACATGGTGTGTCCTTCCGTCTTGAGGCCGAGAACGTCCATCATTGGAGAGGTGGGTATTATTCAGCAGCATCTGTGCTGGGCCGTTGGGATTGGACAACACGCTCTCCATGTTCTGCATGAACTCTGGGTTTCCTGTTAGCTGCTGAACCATACTCTGAATTCCTCCTGTGTTGGCAAACCCAGGGCCTGCTCCAGGCCCAAAATTTAGGACAATAAAGTTCTGCCCTCTGCTATGGCTGGTACGATTGCTATCATGGTTATTCGCAATATCACCGGCCCTGTTCGTCCGAGTGGCCCAAGGGTTTGGTAAAGGGTCTCTGTTTTCCATCCGGGCTGGCAGACTGGCCCCACCCAAGGGTGGGTTATTCTCCAATGATTCAGACGGGTTGCTCCCAAACTGGGCTTGCACGGCGTTCATCATTGGTTCCTCTATCTCGCTGTACAGCTGCTGCAGGGCGCTGTATCCACCCGGGATGCTCTCCAGGTTGCTCAAGGCTCGGTCATGGTTCCTGATAATTTCTTGCAGCATTGCCGGGCTACTGGAGACCTCAATCATTTCCCGGATGAAATCTGGGTTGCGGAGAATGTGATTAATCTCAGGGTTTTGCTCGGCCAGCTGCTGCATCTGCGGGTTGGAGAGAAGGATCTCCTGGACCAGGTCCGTGTTGGTGAGGATGCTTTGCACCATGGGATTCTGTGCCACCTCACTCATCAAGTCCTGTATGGAACCGTCAGCCTCTGAGGCCTCGCTCATTAAATCTGACACATCGGTTGGGTCCAGACCCAGTATGCTCATGCCTGTCACCCCGATGAGGAAGCCCAAGAGGAACGGGTTGCTGTTGATGGTGTTCAGATCCAGGTCCGAACTGATGATCTCAAACAAGAGGTTTTCCATGATCTGGGCCACTAACTCCCGGCTGGAGGCCACCAGCTCTTCTAAGCGCCCCTGCAGCTCGGACACGTTGGAGTAGCTCAGGCCCAGGTGCTGCAGAGCGGGGCCCCGCCCCCAGGCAAGCAGGTTAGAAGCACTGCTGTTTGCGGACGGCATCGGTGGGGTGGCAGTATTCGTCGGCTCAGCTGGGTGGTCCTGGGGCCTCTTTTGGGACCGGATGACAAGGTGGATGCTGAATCCACTGCGGACTCCATGCTGGCTTAGTGTGTCCTGGTCCTTTAAGATCTTCCCAGCAAATATTAGCACCAGCAGGTCAGAGGGAGCCTTGAAGCGCTTGGCGACCTCGTCCTTAAACGCCCGGATGGTGCTGCTCTCTGCTACCTCAAACTGCTCCTTCTGCTTCAGGGTCTTCACCGTCACCTTGAGGACGCCGCCGGACTCGGCGGTGATGGCTGCCTGGTTAGCCCCGGGGGCTCGTCGGCTTTCGGACATGGTGACCGGGATCCAGGAGCTCCGCGTTGGTTCTTCCTCGGGGAGCAGAGGCGCCAGGGGAAGGAGATGGGACGTGACGGAGGACAATTCCTTTCGGCTGATGTACGGCGGCGGTCGTTGTTGCCGGTATCGTTACGGGCTTCCGGGGCGGAGTGGTGGGAAGGGGGAATTGGTCTGCTCTCCCCGTGGTACTGCTGGAAGCCAAAGCCAGAGCGCACATTCCAGCCAGATGTTGGCCTGCTCCTCGGTTCACTCACCACCTGGCGGGTTCCCTCATGGTCTTTCTGCTGCTGATGCCGCCTGCCCATGCAGAATTTCTACCCTGCCTGTCCCGGGGCACTGTGACATCACTGCTGACATCACAGTAAGCAAACAAGGCATTGGTGGCTGGCACTTCCCTTGAAAACAGGCCCGGGAGCACCATATCCTGGCCTATCCTTCCCTCCATCAGCCTGTCCGGCACCCATGTACACAGTGCCCCTGGACCCACGGCATCTGGGGGTTACCTTGGGCTAGCATAGGGGTTCTCACAACAAATGTTTTGCTGGCCTCAGAGTGCGGCCCCCAACTCTTGCAGGTGGCTGCACTGACACGTTTCCCTAAAATACTTCATCAGCTTTAGGAAAAACAAATAAATAGCCCAGATCCACCTCCAGATCATTGTAATTTATGTAGGGTCTTTTTTTTTTGCAGACTCAATAATACAAATATTACCGTGAAAAGTGACATCTGTATGTTTGTTAATCGCACTTTTCACAACAAGTCCTGGCAAGTTAAGACCGGGATGGAGGGGTGGCGGGTGCGGCAGTGGGGGCCAGGGAGATTGGATGGGGGGACCTGGTGCCACCACCACATGGTTGGAGGTGTGGGTTGGTGCCTGGGGCTGGGGTAGGCGCCCTGGGCTAGCACCCACTGGAGCCCAGAGTTGGCGGCCGCAGTTGTGTGGTCAGGGCCGGGATCGGCGCCCTGGGCTGGGGATCAGCACCCAGAGCCGGCACTTGCTCCTGTGCGACCGGGGCCGAGGGTCAGCACTCAGGGTCGGCGCTTGGGGTCTGCCCCCGCTGGGAGTCAGTGTCCTGGGCCAGCACCCACCCCAGACTGGGGTTGGTGCCTGCTGCTGTGTGACTGGGCGGGGGATCTGCACCCGGGGCTGGTGCCTGGGGCTGAGATCAGTGCCCGTGGCCAGCACCTGCCGGAACCCAGGGTTGACATCCAGGAGCAGTGCCCGGGGTCAGCAGCGAGGGCTGGGGGTCAGAGCGGGCAGCTGGGGTTTGGGGCTGGCACTTAGGGTCTGCACCTGCTGCTGCGTGGCCAGAGCTACGGGTCAGCCCCCAGAGCCAGCACCCGCCAGTGCCGGGGATCTGCACCCAAGGCCGGCAGCCGCTGGAGCTCAGGGTTGGCGCCTGGGGCCGGCACCCAGGGTCAGTGATAGGGCTGGGGGTCGGCATGCACGGATGGGGGCCAGTGGCTGCCGGTCGGATTGGGGGTCAGTGCCACATGGCCAGAGCCAGAGATCGGAGCCAGCCGCTATGTGGCCAGGGGCTGGAGTCTGACGCCCCATGGCTGGAGCCCTAGTCTGCAGCCAGGCTCCCTGAGTCCCCACCGCCCAAGCACCCCAGGGCTGAAGTCTGAGCCCCACTAAGCCCCCCCGTCTCCCCTCTGGTAGAGAACTCACCATGCTCCTGCAGCGTTGTGCCCACCTGTCTCCAAGTGCAGGGCAGGGCAGGGCATTCAGGAGCAACAGGGAGGGCGGGGGGTGTCCGATGCTTTGCCCCCCCCCCCACACCCCACCCCACCACTACCACCAAAGAAGCTGTCCTGGCTGCAGGGAAACCCCCTGGTGGCCGCATTTGAGAAATGGCGGGCTAACACGGAGTGTGAACCGTGCCCAAGCCTGGCTTCCCCGTATTATCCTCCTACCCGACTTCTCGCCAGAGGCAGCCTTCTGGCCCATTCCCTGCCGAGCTGCTCCCTCTGGGGAAAGCGCATCCCCCTGGAAAACATCCTCTGCCCCCCTCCCGCCATCCGGCAGCAGTGGGGCTGCAACAGCTCTTGTTCTTGATTGCAGGGCACCGCCCACCCCCCCGCCCCCACACCGTCTCCCTGTGTTCCACTTCTTGCCAAGGGGCAGGTCATCTTCCCATGGGACATGCAGCTCTCCTCCTCACAGGCTCAGTAGTTAGAGGGGGTGGCCCATGCCAGTCTGTCTTCTCAGACACCCAGCTGGCCCTCCCCTTTCTCAGCTCTCCAGTGGGGAGGCCTGCTACCTCCCATGTCCCTCTGCTCCCCAGGAGACAGGCCTGCTCCTCCAGTGACGAGCAGCAGGACCCCGAAACACCTTCTGTTGGCCCCACTGCTCTAGCCCCTTAGTGTTTAGAGGCACCTCCACCCCACAGTGCTTGTAGGTGATGCGATCCAATAGTCGCATTTTAAGTGATGGGACACAATGGAGGAATCCCTGTGTGGGCTCTCTGGCCTGGCCATGCAGACTGTCCGACTGCTCCCTTCTGGTCTGGTATTTCTGGGTCCCGCTCTCCCAGAACAAGAGGGTGGTCAGCGCACCTGCTCCTCCAGGAGGTAGAAGAGGTGATCTCCTATGAGCCTACCTGCTGATGAAAGAGGACAGAGAAGACCAGCTGCCCTCCATCTGAATACCATCACCGCCCTAGGTGTGGATACAAGGTGATATGGCTACTGGTGTAGTGGGCTTCATTAATCCAGGGTTTAACTCCATTGATCTCAGGATGAATTGGTCACTGAGAACAACTCGTTCCTCAGATTTAACCCTTCTCTGTCTGCAATTTGGCCCCACACCAATCGTAACATGCCTGATTTTTTTCATCATTCATGATTGTTAGACAAAGAGCATTTCTGAACATGTTTTGGCCTTTGACCTGTTTGCAAAGTGCTTAGGTTAGATAGTCAAGGTTTGCGATTTGAGCCACTAAGTCATATGGCATGGTTTCTGTTTCCTAATTGGATGACATAAGGTTAGCACTTCCAACACTTCATCGCTGATGAATACTGATATTTACACCAAGAAAAATCTCCTCCAAAAACATCTGTGTGAACAAAACACAAGTTCACTAACGTGCGCTGAACAGTGAATGTAAAATGGCACAAACACAGCCAGCCACTGTGGTTAGAGCTTCACAACTATAGTCACAACTATTGGGCTGGGACCCAGGAGATCCGGTTCTATTCCAGGTCTCTCACAGATGCCATGTGTAATTTTGGATGAATCAATCTCTTTGTGCCTCAGTTTCCCTGTCTACACCATGGGGATAATAACCTCAAAACCACACACACACACAAAACCCCATGGCAGTGAGTCTCAGAGCCCGGCTGAACTGGCTCAGCCCAAATGTTTCCACGGCTATTGGTAGCCACAAAGCACGAGCCCAGCAAGCCTGAGTCAGCAGACTTGGGCTCGGAGACTTTTTTGCAGACATACTGTCATAACTATAAAGTGAAGGGTAACAGCTGTCCTGTGTACAGTACTATAAAATCCTTCCTGGTCAGAGACTCCAAAATCCTTTTCCCTGTAAAGGGTTAAGAAGCTCAGGTAACCTGGCTGGTATCTGACCTAAAGGACCAATAAGGGGACAAGATACTTTCAAATCTTGGGGGGGGAAGGCTTTTGTTTGTGTTCTTTGTTTGGGAGTGTGTTCGTTCTCGGGACTGAGAGGGACCAGACATCAATCCAGGTTCTTCATATCTTTCTAAACAAGTCTCTCCTATTTCAAACTTGTAAGTAAATAGCCAGGCAAGGCGTGTTAGTTTTCCTTTGTTTTCTCAACTTGTAAATGTACCTTTTACTAGAGTGTTTCTCTCTGTTTGCTGTACTTTGAACCTACGACTAGAGGGGATTCCTCTGAGCTCTTTAAGTTTGATTACCCTGTAAGGCTAATTTCCATACTGATTTTACAGAGATGATTTTTACCTTTTTCTTTAATTAAAAGCCTTCTTTTTAAGAACCTGATTGATTTTTCCTTGTTCAAGATCCAAGGGGGTTGGAACTGTATTCACCCGGAGTTGGTGGGAGGAAGGAGGGGGAATGGTTAATTTCACCTTGTTTTAAGATCCAAGGGGTTTGGATCTGTATTCACCAGGGAATTGGTGAAAGGTTTCTCAAGGCTTCCCAGGGAGGGAATGGTGGCAGCGGAACCAGAGCTAAGCTGGTAGTTAAGCTTAGAAGTTTTCATGCAGGCCCCTACATTTGTATCCTAAAGTTCAGAGTGGGGATCCAGCCTTGACACATACCCTTAGCTCACAGAGATGGTGTGAGGATGAATTCTTAACTGCGTGTCAGTCAATCAAATACTACCCTCACCCACGCCCAGGTAGAGAGACAGACTATTTGCCCAGCTCTAAATAATATCTGCTTCCCAGAGCTGTAGTGACGCTCATAATTCATTAACTCATTATCTCAAACTCCCTAGAGGCCAGCTGCTGGGTAATAGCACCTTATCATCGGGCGGAAGCATGCAACAGCTTTAGGCAAAAGCTGCTAACTTCCGGCCGCTGACAAGAAAACGACAGCTCCCCACAGAAAGGTGCACCGTTATTGGCTTTTCTTTATAAGACCGAAATCCGAGCGAACATGTTACAGAGCCGGTGCTACGACGGGTGGGCTGGATGTTTCTGTCTCCCCACGGCTGCACTGATATCTTCTCCGGTTGCTATGTATGTTCCCGTCGCGGTTCAAGGAGCCCATTGAGTCCAGCTACTCCAGTTCTTCCTGAAATTTGATTTCTGGAGCTTGTAAGTGCTGAGGATTCGTCCCAGGAAGAATTTTCAGCATCCGCAGCATGTTTAGATGTTGGTGTCCCTGCTCGGACGCTGCCGGCGCTGCGTGGGACGTTTCACTGGGTGCAGGGCTCGGGTCAGGAGCACTTGGAGAGCTCCCCGAATTTCCCAGTCCCCACAAACGGAGAGTAAACCACGGCAGAAGGACAGGGGCCTCTGCTGCCAAGGTCTGCAGCCCCTGCTCAATCTGC